TGTAACTAATTAAATTTTTGTAGGGAGGGTAGGTGTTGAGCCCAAAGTGAGCAGAGTAGAACTGCTTTGCAACTGTCTGGGCAAACTCAGGCAGCCCTGGCTGGGGTTCCGAGGCTTACATGACAAAAGCTTTAGTATTGTTATCTATACTAATGCTATTCAGTACAGTATTTAAGTGGACTGTGTCCTATAAGGTAAATAATGAGTTTTAGGATAAAAAGTGCAATTCTCGGCTTTAAAAGTAGAGATTAGAAAGCATTAGTTTAGGAACTTGTAGCCCACAAAAAAATTAGGATTTAGTCTACGCCACATAAAAAAATAAAAACTTAAGAAAATCTGACAAGTGTACTATAGTTTTTAAAACATAATTTTTCTCTCTCCAGTTTTCCATTTTTACTAAAGACAAATCATAGTAGTATGATTTCCTTTATTATACTTGGCCTGATTATTTGTATAAAGTCCATCAAGAACAATTATTATTCATATAGGTTTTATAAATTGGCTTTGATAGAACTCTGTTCCATAAGGAATTTCAGATAAGACTGTTTTAAGCTGAGGCCAGCCATGGATTTGTACACTTAAATACCTTCGAGTTGCGTAAATTCCTCTCAAAGTCCCAAGATAATTTGGGGGGCTCCTGGGCCTGTTAAAAAGTGACATTCTTTACTTACCACAGGTCGGGACAAAACCACATTTGCAAAATTATGATTGAGACAGTGAAAGAGACCTAACTTAACCAACTCCATCTTGCTTCTAACTCCAAGCTGTCCTTGTTCATTCCTGCATGTAGGCTGAACTAAGAGTGAAACATAGTTTATAGTTTAAACAAAAACGGTAACAACTCTCTCCCAAAGGAAACCTCCTTCTTGCCTGAGGACTATGTTGCCTTTGTAGGACTAATGTTAGCAACAAGTTTAGAAATTATGGTTTAGGAGTCAGGCAGCTGGAGACTATAAGATTCTGACCCTCCCTAAACCGATCCTAAAATCAGTGCTTGAGATTTTTTTTCAGACCCTGAACTTGATGGATCAGCTGGCTCAAACCAGATCAGTAAAAAACTAATTTTATGGCCCCCACCCAGGAACTGACTCTGCGTAAGAAGACAGCTTTGATTCCCTGTGATTTCATCTCTGACCAATAAGCACTCTTGGCTCGCTGGCTTCCTTGATCCACTAAGTTGTCCTTTAAAACTGCTCCCCAAATGCTCAGGGAGACTGATTTGAGTAATAATAAAACTCCAGTCTCTAGCACAGCCGGCTCTGCATGAATTATTCATTCTCTCTTGAAATTCCCCTGTCTTGATGAATCGGCACTGTCTAGACAGTGGGCAAGATGAACCCCTTGGGTGGTTACAAGAATTCCTGTACAGGAATTGTGTACATAAGGTATGAGGCCATTTTCCCAAGGGTTTTTATTGGCTCTATAAGTCAAGTTTGATTCCTTAAAGGAAAGCATGCCATTCCATTAAAAGCCTTGGTGAAACAACCAGTTTCTTCAAAAGAAAACATTCTTAATGCACTTATGCAAATAACTATGTTGCCATAAGTTAAGAATACTCACAAATAGTTTCCAAATTCTGGAGAAATCAGGTAGAGAGAAAAAAATGTGTTCCAAATTTTATTCACAGGAATATGTTTCACTCAATTGTCAAAAGCTGTATATAGCTCAAAAGAAAAGTCTTCTTGGCTCTGGAAAACAAAAAGGATCAGCAATGTTTTAAGAAAAAAGTAAAAAAAAAAAGATTACTTCAGATTTCTATTAGTTTAGTCAATTCAGTTAACTCTTGTTGTGTTTGATATTGAATATTTATATTTGGTAGCATGATTTAATACATTAAATAAGATGAATATGTCCTTTTCGACTTAAGGGACCTAATTGTTATGATTATTTCAACAACTTAGAATTTTATTGTGGAAAGTTTGTCAAGTACCAAAGGTTTAAAACACTGTATATCATAAAATATTGTCTCAGGTCACTATAACTCATTTATTTAGCCAAAATTATAACTCAAAAATTTTAAAAGAGATAAATAGATAGAATTCTGCTAGATAGAAGACTCAGTTTTCCAAACAAGACCCAATAAGATAGCATAAGGCTAACTCAATCTGTCTCTTCTCTCTCCCATCCCCACTTTTTTTGTAATATACTTAAAAGGCAAACAAAAATCTTCCATTGTTTCTTAGTTTCATTAAAATCTTTTTTTTTTAAAAAGTGGAAAACAAATTTTATGTTTACATTAGTCCATCTTAAATATGAAAGCTAGTTTTTTGTTTGTTTGTTTGTTTTTGAGATGAACTCTCACTTTGTTGCTCAGGCTGGAATGTAGTGGCTCACGGAAACCTCTGCCTCCTGTGTTCAAGCAATTCTTCTGCCTCAGCCTCCAAAGTAGCTGGGATTATAGGTGTGTATCACTAACCCAGCTAATTTTTTTTTAAGATGAGGTTTCACCATATTGGTCAGGCTGGTCTTGAACTCCCTACCTCAGGTGATCCACCTGCCTTGGCCTCCAAAGTGCTTGAATTACAGGTGTGAGCCACCATGCCTGGTTGATTTTTTATATTGTTGATAGAGATGGGATTTCATCATGTTGGTCAGGCTGGTCTCAAAATCCTGACCTGGTTATCCGCCCACCTTGACCTTGCAATGTGCTGGGTTACAGGTGTGAGCCACCACACATGACTGCTAATTTTAAAATACAGTTTTAAAATCTATCCAGTTTTAATTAGTTTGATCATAAGGTGAGATTTTTGTAAACTTTTTATAGAATGCTTTACAATTTTTTTATTGACCAGCAAATTAATTTTCTAAGAAAACCCTCTTACTTGGACACATGGGTCCAGATTCTGGTTGGGCATCAGTATGCTATTATTTTAATGTTTAATCTATGGGAAAAAAATTAATCACCATTAAATCTTAGCCAACTTGCTTATTATACCCACAGGACTTTTTTTTTTTTGCAAGACCAATTATTCATGAATCCTCTTTAATTTGCTTAAGCCTTAAGTATTGTCCTATTACTCTTTTAGAGTAAGATTATCTTTAAAACCCTCTGAACTAGAAAAATTACATTTTCTTTAACAAAAACCATATTCCAATGCCTTCTTATAATTTCTTTTTTTAACAAAAACACGTTATTTTCTTACACATCTTGTATGTAAAACTGTATTTTTAGAAGTATTAATTACACATTACAATGTTAATGCTCAGGAAATTTTATTTTTGGTAAAAAACCTGGTAAGTAAGCAATTTTACTCCACATGTCCTCAGGCCTTATCTAGAATTTAATGCTCCAAAGTAGATAAATTGGACAATTTTCAAAAGTCAAAGAAGCAGTTTATGACCTTAAAGCATTTAGCAAATTTGATGTTTTACCTTAATTTAGGCCAAATGTCCAAATTTTGAAGGCATTTTTATTTTACCAATTATCTTTAAAGCTGTCTTTATTTCCAAAAGATTACCAAAGTCACATGAACAAGAAGGCATTGTTCTGAAGTTTCTATTTTTCTGAAAAAAATATTATTTAAGCACTTATTTTTCTAAGCCAATTAATCAGATTTCTTTTATATCAATATCACGTGAACAACACATATAAATACACAGACAGACAGACAGACAGAAGTTCCAGCAGTTATAAGATTTTCCATTTGCCAGTTTCTTAATTGGATTGCTGACTTCAGGGTGGAGCCCTTGGAGGAAGAGAATCAGGAAAACTTGCAGTTTCTAGGGCCTAATAAGTATGCACAGCTAGACGGCAAAAACAAATCCCCAACATTAAGGCCATTTTATACTAGATCTTGGATCCCCAAAAAGGAGGGGAATACAATAGGAGAAGATAGTTCTGTGCTTCTACCATGCATTTTTTTTCTTTCTTTCTTTTTCTTTTTTTTTTTTTTTTAGGCAAGTCAAGTGAAGCAGTGGGAGTGGAGAAGGAACAAAGAAATCTGTAACTGGTTGTGATCAATTAGTTGTAAACACCACTGCACTTGGAGCAGCCTCTACTGTGCATTTAGTTGCAAGGCAACCCAAAGACAATCAACTCATTTTGTAATCAGCTTCTCCCCCAGGGAAGTCTCATCTCTCAGTGGGGAGCAGGGTAGGGATGTTTCCATATCTTCCAGGTGGTCAACAGCATGCTTCTCTGATCCAAGTATTCAAAGAACCAAGTATTTCTCCATAACTGCTGCAGCCATCCCTTAAAGTATATTTCTTATCTAGTTATTACACACCAAGGCTAAAATGCAAAGTAATTTGATACCCCCAAATGTGAAAACCATTAGCTAACACAGTGCAAAACAGAACAGAGCCTTAGATTTTGAGAGGGATTTATTTTCTTTCAGTTCCTGGGGTTCCATGGGAAAACAGAAGTTTTTCCCAGAATGGGGTCCATGGTATCTCCTGTTTTTCCCCAGGTGTCCCAGGCTGTTAGTAATTATCTTAGGTTCTCTCATGTGGGCATAAACAGTGGCAAGAAGACAAAATGAAGAAAAACAGTTCAGTTGACTGAGAAGAAAAACTTTTTTTCTTTAGAAAAAAACATGATTCAAGAAGAGAAAAAAAGTAAAGGTCTTTTAAATACATATAGCTTGGGTATCCAATTTTAATTAAGCCAGTTTTAACCACAGAGCTCTTTTGTTAAAAAAAAAAAAAATCTTTTAGGCTGGGCGCGGTGTGGCTCAAGCCTGTAATCCCAGCACTTTGGGAGGCTGAGGCGGGTGGATCACAAGGTCAACCTGGTCAACATGACCATCCTGGTCAACATGGTGAAACCCTGCCTCTACTAAAAAAATACAAAACATGGTGGCACATGCCTGTAATCCCAGCTACTCAGGAAGCTGAGGCAGGAGAATTGCCTGAACCCAGGAGGCGGAAGTTGCGGTGAGCCATGATCGCGCCATTGCACTCCACCCTGGGTAACAAGAGCAAAACTCCGTCTCAAAAAAAAAAAAAAAGAGTAATTGGAAAAGTTGTGACTCTTTTTTTTTTTTTTTTTTAATTAAAAAAAAAATGTGGAACGCTTCACAAATTTGTGTGTTATCCTTGCGCCGGGGACATGCTAATCTTCTCTGTATATTCCAGTTTTAGCATATGTGCTGTCGAAGCGAGCAAGAAGTTGTGACTGTTATGACCTCTGGAATAATGGCTGTTGATATTTAGAATTCCAGCCCCTCATTCTAACTTGATGGCCCGTGGTCTTTCATTCATTTTACAAGGACAGTTTAGCTTTTCGGAAGGGATATTACTTAAACTATAAACTAAGTTCCTTCCCAAGGCTAGTTTGGCCTATGCCCAGGAATAAACAAGGACAGCTTAAAGGTTACAAGCAAGATGGAGTTGGTTAGGTCTGATATCTTTCCCTGTCATAGTTTCCTTAGTTATAATTTTCCAAAGGCAGTTTCAAAATTGTTTCAGGTGTGTGTGTGTGTGTGTGTGTGTGTGTGTGTGTGTTCCTAAGTGTACTGAGACATGATGTAAAATGAGTTTCTTATTGATTGACATGAGCTTTTTAAACAATGTTAGAATTGGTCTAGATCAGTGGTTCCTAAATTATGGTTCCTGACCCAGCTGCATTAGAATTACCTGGGACCTAGTGATCGTAAGAATTACAAATTTGGGGGCTTCATCCTGGACCTACTGAATAGGGGCAGGGCCTGGAAACCTGTGTTTTAAAAAACCTCCAGATAATTCTGATCAATGTTAGTGTTATAAGTAAAATTTAGATGCTGCAAAAGAAATAGCATTGGAAGATATGTCCTCTCAGCAAGGCAGTTTACTTCTATAGAAGGGTTTGGGGTGCACAGACGGAGCAATGATGGCTGCCCCATGCTTGGACAAGGGGGAAGGGAGTACTTATGCCTGACGGGGATCATCCCTGCTGCTGTGTCATCCCTTATTGGCTAGGGTTAGACCTCACAAACTAGACTAATCCCAATTGGCTATTTTAAAAAGAGCAGGGGTCTGAGCTGGAGTAGCAGGGTGGGTGTTTGGCGGGAAGGACAGTTATGGGTGTGTCAGAGCAGGTAGCCAGGGGTGATCATGTGACTGGGATGAGTCAGGATGGTGCCAGCGGGGAGGGGGAGCAGAAGTGAACTACTGATGAACCAGTGGAGAAGTTGTTTATTGGAATTACAAGGAAGTCAACCTTAAAAATAGAGATTTAAAGAATAAGAGAGCCGAACATACTGACATACTGATTCTTTAAAGACAAACTTGGGGTTCACTATAACATTAGAAAACCACTGAAATCTAGGTAATTTAGCCTTTCTCAATCACAGGAGATTAAAGCTTTAGAGAAAATTATTTCAGTGACTTGTCGTTTCTCTGAAGTAGAAAGCCAGCATTCTAGAAGATACTGGGAAATAAGTTAGTTATTACATACAATGCATGTCTTAGGGCAGGAGGGCTTAATTTTCTCTTAGGAGTGGTTGAGAAGGGAAAAAAATCTAGAATGATCCCCCAAGGTTTTCTTCAGAGTAAATTTGCACGATGTCAACAAAAATAGTCAAACTCTGTAAAATATTTGAAGAGATTTATTCTGAGCCAAATAGGAGTGACCATGGCCTATGACACTGAGAATATGAGATCCTGAGAACATGTGCCCAAGGTGGTTGGGGTGCAGCTTGAAGTCACACATTTTAGGGAGACATGAGACTTCAATAAAATACGGTTAAGATACACATTGGTTTGGTCCACAAAGGTGGGACAACTTGAAGGGGGAAAAGGTGGATGCTTCCAGGTTATAGGTAGATTTAAAATTTTTCTGGTTGACAATTAGTTGAGTTTATCTAAAGACTTGAGAAATATAGAAAAGAAACGTTGGGGTTAAGATAATGGATTGTGGAGACCAAAGTTCTTATAATGCAGATGAAGCCTTCCGGTAGTGGTTTCAGAAAGAATCGATTGTAAATGCTTCTTTTTGTTTGTTTGCTTGTTTGTTTGTTTTTGGAGACAGAGTCTCACTCTGTCATCCAGGCTTGATGCAGTGGCATAATCTTGACTGGCTCTGCAACCGCTGCCTCCCAGGTTCAAGCAATTCCCTGCCTCAGCTTTTGGAGTAGCTGGGATTACAGGTGTCTGACACCACATGAGGCTAATTTTTTTCTTTTTAGTGGAGATAGGGTTTCACCATGTTGGCCAGGCTGGTCTCGAACTCCTGACTTCATGATCCGCCGGCCTCAGCTTCCCAAAGTGCTGGGATTACAGATGTGAGTCACTGTGCCCAGCCTGTAAATGCTTTTTATTAGACTCAAGGTCGGTGTTGATGTTAATGCTGGAGAGTATAATGAGGCATGTCCAACCTCCACTTCCCATCACGGCCTCAACCAGTCTCTCAGATTAAATTTTAAGCACGCCCTGGTGGAGGAGGAAGCCCATTCAGATGGCTGGGAGGTCTTAGAATTTTACTTTTGGTTTATAGTGACTTAACCCAAGTTTTCTAAAACATAAAGTAATCCAACCAAGGATTTGCATAAAATTGTTTTGGCTTAAAATGTATTTTATTCTTATCTCTATAGTGATTACAAACAATGATTCTATTATGATAATGAATAATTTAAATATATAACTGTTACTAAGAGTTGGAAATTATAATTTGCTGAGAACATTAAAAATCAGCCTCTAGTTCATTTATCTAATCATAATGGTCATATTTGCAAACTCTTTATAACAGTGATTCACAGCCACTATTCTGATTTAACCCTGTTTTGTTCCCAGTACACTCCTAATCAGTAACATCTCTCATCACTATGCTGTGATTCTCATGGGGACTAGGGGGGCTATAGAGCATGAAAAGTCTCATTGAGGATTCTAATGCACCCCCTCCCCCACATACACACCAAAAGAATCTCTGCACTAGGATAAAAGACAAAAGTTGCTAAGAACAATCTAAGTCAGCAGAGAATATATCATCCTCCCAGAATAGCCAAGTTTTAAATAGGCATTGACTGAGTTCCAGGATGATCCAAGAGCTCAGAGCATAATTCATTATTGTATACTTATTTATTCGCTCCAAAGAACCGCTATTCTTTCAGAAGAGAGCAAAATCTGGTTATGAAACAGGAAAGTTTTCTTGTCAATCAATGAATTAATATTTTTTGTGGCTGCTGGATAGGCACCAATGTATTTGGCATTACATAGGAAATGGGTTCGTTGAAACCGCCTTTGCAAAAATTGTATCAGTGAGAAGATTATGGCAGTGGGAGAGATCTGATCTAGCCAACTCCCCTCCTGCCTTTAGCCATCAAGCAATTGAGCTGCCTTTATTATCGCACTAGCTTTGGGAGACATTTAGTTTATAGTTTAAATGATAACAGCTCTTCCCCAAAACTCAACTGCCTTTGTAAAGCTAATGAGAGAACTCTGGGCTAGGAGGAGGACAGCAGCCTGAATTTTGATAAAGTATAGACATAAATGATTGCCAGTCTTTATTCCAGATGCAACAAGATATGTAACTTCCCCAATTACTCCTGCAAATAACATAACTATTGTAGAATCTAAGATTGGCCTTTTGAGATATCATTTCAGGCTTTTCCTCCGTCTGACACCTATGCTTAAGGCTCCACCTGGACCCTCCCACTGCTCCTGTGGCCCCACCTAGGTTTCAGCCTGCAGAAGGATCATTTCCAACACCCCTATGATTGCACCCACCATCCAATCAGCAGCCACCCCCATCACTTCCCCCAGACTACTTTTGAAAAGCCCTAGCCCCTGAAATCCCAGCTCCGGAGGAATTCAACTCCATTGCAATTTCCCTGCCCTGATAAATGAGCTCTATCTGATTTATCTATCTGATAGGGCAGCAGACAAGAAGAACCCATTAGGTGGTTACAGGTTTACAACTGGAGAGAAAAGATCCGAACACATTAAATAAGCAACATAAAAATTAAACACTAATAAATGATAAATTATGAAGGACTACTTATGAAACTATCTGAAGTGGTTTTAAGAAATTTAGATGGCTGAGCAGAGTAGCTCACGTCTGTAATCCTAGCACTTTGGGAGGCCGAGGTGGGCGGATCACAAGTTCAGGAGTTTGAGGCCAGCCTGGCCAACATGGTGAAACTTCATCTCTACTAAAAATACAAAAATCAGCTGGGTGTGGTGGCATGTGCCTGTAATCCCAGCTACTCAGGAGGCTGAGGCAAGAGAATCACTTGAACCTGGGAGACGGAGGTTGTGGTGAGACGAGACTGTGCCATCGCACTCCAGCCTGGGTGACAGAGCAAGACTCCTTCTCAAAAAAAAAGAAAAAAAAAATCTAGATTCCAGTCAGGCACGGTGGAATCCCCAGCACTTTGGGAGGCTAGAGCAGGCAGATCACTAGGGCCAGCCTGGGCAACAAGGTGAGACCCCCCATCTCTACAAAAAAATACAAAACTTTACTGGGCATGGTGTTGTGCACCTGTGATCCCAGCTACTCGGGAGGCTGATTGCTTGAGCCCAGGAGGTGGAGGTTGCAGTGAGCTGAGGCTGCCCCACTGTACTCCAGCCTGGGCAACAGAGCCAGACCCTGTCTCAGAAGAAAGAAAGAAAGAGAAAGAGAGAGAGAGAGAGAGAGAGAGAGAGAAAAGAAGAAAGAAAGAAAGAAAGAAAGAAAGAGAGAGAGAGAGAGAGAAAGAAAGAAAGAAAGAGAGAAGGAGGGAGGGAGGGAGGAAGGAAATATAGAAACCAACCCCATAAATGCTATGCTATGTCAGAATGCCATAATATCAGAAATGCTGACATGGATTCATCAGAGTCAGGGCCCAGGAATCTGCATTTAAGTCTGCCAGGTTGTTCTGATAACCAATCCAGTTGAGCACCACTACCTCAGAAATCCATAAAAGAGGAAAATTAATTTTAACCAATACTATCAGGGAACACCTTTTTTGTGGAGCAGTGAAGCTGAGATGGGCCCTGAGTGGAACTACCTGTGCAGAATTATAGCAGAATTATAAATAATAAGAGAAGTCTAACAGAGTTAGCTCCATCTTGTTTCTAATCTCACAGGCTAAATTTTTTTTTTTTATTCTAGCACAGAGGCCAAGATAACCATGAGAGGAATTTAGTTTATAGTTAAACTTGGAGGCAAAGGAAACTAACCCTCCCAACCCCACCCTACCATGCCCACA